CTTATATGTAAATTTCTAACAACAAGAAGACAACTCATATATAAGTCAACAGATCACGCATGCTAACTCGATCATTACACAATAAAACTCATTAAAATTGCAACGAATCGCGCTTCCTACGAATCAAGCAAAGAACTTAAAAAAAAGAAATTTGCCCAACATGGATGAAAAATGAAACTAAAAATAATACCAACTGAAATAAATACGAATACGAATGAACACTATCAATTCAAACCTGTGATGTGATTGCTCGTTTACCACCATGCCCCTCGTTACCTTCTTCGGAATGACCCTCATCATATCCTTCCATATTCATCAACTCATTTTTATCATCCATTCCATCAACATTTGAATATTCTACTGATCCTGGCGTAAGGTTTTCAGATGCTTCCGACGGTCGGCTCTTACTTCCAATAATATCATCAACCGTACTGCACTGCTCAATCAGCCTTGACAATGACTTATTCTCATTCTTTTCAACTTTCTTCAATATCCTTGTCAACGCTGTAGCGTTCGATTCCAAAAACTGCTCAACTACTCCGATTTGCTGGAAAAGAAAAATGATGATGTAAATACAAACACATCAAAAAATTTCAGTCTTATTAATTATTAATATTATTAATACACTCATGAGCTTCTCAAAATCAACAAGTGATCACTAATATCATAAAACATTTCAATTTCCACAAATTTGACGAAATCAAAACGATGCGAGTGAGAAATTTCCTTGCCACAAACCTTTTTCTCTGCAATAATCGCATCAATAACTGGATGTTCGTCCATATACCGTTTCGTTTCTTGAAGTCCGTCCATTTTTGTTGTCGTTTTCAAATACATATAGAATAATATATTCAACAGATAACTGAAAATTGCATTCAATGTTTTTTTTTTGCTTCCTCTGCAAATTGATTTCAATCTGCCACTCAATTAACTTTTGAATAAATAATTCCAACGTTAAAATCAACAACTTATAATGAATATTCAAACAACTCAACATCAAATCATCGAACTCGCCCAGAAGCAATGCACATTCTGAATTCATCTGCACAAAACAGAAAATAAATCTCATTTTGGAACGGCTCCGCTTGAAACAAAAACAAATCCGAAAAAAAAGACATAATTTTTCACTCACAAATCATTAAGATCAGATAATTTGTGAGTGAGGAATTATGTATATTGTAAGCTGGCTCAAATCTCACATCCATATCTCGCCTCCCCTTTATGTTTCGCAAAAATTTTTTACACATCCATGATCAGCTCAAGGAGTTCTACAGTGTGATGTATACCTCATCCCGGAACGCTGGGTTCAGTTCGTGACCTTTCCTTGTTAGTAATACCTCCCAACTTCCTTCTCATTACCCAACAAATGAAAATCTAATCAATCCAAAATTTATCCAAGCAAATCGCTTTCTCACCCATCAATAATCATAATCGATTACCTTGAAAATAAGGAAACAGCTGAACGAATCTGCTGTTCAAGCACAGTACGTCGTTCGGTTGTTTTCAGTACGTTCAGAATGGTCAACAGTGGAAGTAGACGTGCTTGCATTAGTTCACGCTAAAGAAAAAACAAAATTACAGTAACAATGAAAATTAGAAATCTGAACATAAAAACACAATCATTCACTGAATAATACACCTGATATTCAAAAAATTTCCGTATTCACGATAAAAAATTTTCTAAAGAAACAAAATTAAACCTTTGCTTTATATTCATCGATCATTTTCTCGAATTCTGGATTGATTTTCAAAAAATACTCCAGCTTCTGCGCCTCACTCATTGAATCCAAATCAACAGCACTCCTCTTCTTCTTCGTCACTTCAGTGCTCTTGTCGGTTTGAGGTACCTCAAAATTCAATCGCTCTGACATTAATTACAACGACCAATCAAGGATGAACCGTATGCACTTTTGTTGAGGTTATCTCATTTTAAGGTCACCATATTCCCAAGAACTTCGAATCTAATCTATCGATCCAGTAAGCCCACTGATGAGTCCCACCTGTCCAGTTGGTAACATGTCGAACATTGCGCAACAAACAAAGATACCCTAAGCTTATGCATAAATACCAGCAAAATGCTCAAACTAAACAAACCTAAATAAAGGTAAGCCCTAGGCTAAGGCAAAACTCAAGTCAAGACTTAAGCCAGTTCAAACTTTTTAGCCTAGTTAGTACAAAAATTTTCTTGGAAAACATGAAAAGCTGTCAAGTCATGTTTGCGCTTCTTTATGCCTCGATTCTATCAATGTTTCAAGCACTTTATATCATCCGCAACCGGAGAGGAATGTGTAATTCTAAGTACTAACAATTTTACAACGAATAAAGACAACCACAATGAAAACAACAAAAAACAATCACCATAATATCGTCGAACTGAACAGCTTCTAGAGCTGCATCAAGTTTTTTCTGTCGTTCAATCGCATCCTCTCTCTCCAACTCTGCTAATTCCTCCTCATCTTCATTCATACCACCGAAATCCAAATCCACATATGATGTGCTATAATACGCTTGACGCTTATGACCCCATCGGTCAGCCGATGGCAATGCTAAAAACATATTTCATAGAATATAAAATGTGAAATATTTACGTACAAGATGATTAGATCTCAAAGATAATGAATTGTAACAGTATGAAGTATGACTATCAAATATAGATAATATGGAAATGAATATATAGCACTAGCGTTAGGATCATTATTATTTATTAATATCATCATTATCGTTATCATTATTATTTATTATAATCATCATTATTATTATATTATTTTTATTATATTATTATTATTACTATNAAATAAAGTTGATATCATTGCTTTCTTACCGTTTATCTTCCTAATCAAAAATAAATGCTGAAGTTTCTATATTTAGGCTTGAACAGCTTGAATTTCCTGCATACGTATGTATTTCCTTGCAATCGGATTAAAACCGGCTTTGGAGATTACCAAGGAAGCCACCAGCTTTGAGATTATCAATGCTATATTATTACTGCCAATAAAACTGATGGTACCATCTCTATCATCAGAGATATTATTAATGTTATGCACCTCACCTTTACTGGTGTCAGCTTTATTTTGCTCGTTATCCGACGAGTCGAATAAAGAATCCCTATCAGCATCGCTATTACCATCAGCAAAATCTTCATCCTCATCTGATGAAATATCACCCTCAACATTCAGCACCTCTTCGATCTTGTTCGATTGCTTGCCCTCATCCAAATCTAGCACTTCATTACGCTTTCGATGGAACTGATCTATTTCATCGTATACTTCATCGCTATTCTCTTCAGATTCCTCTCGTTCTCGAGCCATCCCTCTGAATATAAATTAAGATTTCTTCGGAGTTTTGGAAAAAAACGATTGTTAACGTGAAATCTATCATCAAACTTATGCATGTGAAATTATTTCAGTTGTTTTCCATTGGAAATTCAAATTGCTCAATTGACTTTCTGATAGGATTATGTCTGAATTTCGAGAATTTCTATGGCAAAATCTAAAAACATAATGAATCTATAGAAGTTTCTGTTAGATCAACGCTACGGTTGTTCAGTCTCATTGGTTAGTAGTAGACTGTGTCAGGATTTTGCATAACATTTTGGAAACTAACCGTCACTTTTGCATGTATTAACAAAGAAAATTAAACAAAAACATTTACAAAAAAGGTTTCTCGGAATAAAACACTGATAATTTCACGATATTTGTTGCATTGAGATGACGTACACTAACCCAAAGAATGTGATAATTTCAATGCGAAGAATGAATGAATATGCAAATGTTACATTGAGTTTGCTTAAGGAAAATAAAATCTGCAACTGTATAATGTTCTCATTGGTTCTATTGAAGTGTGTATTGAACGGTTGCCTTCGAATTCAACGAAAATCTTCGTGTTTTATTTGGCCACAGTAATTGATCAGTTCAGCAGTCAAAGTGGCCGCACAATTCATCAGTAAATTGTTTGCTAGACTGACTCGCAGGTAATGTGGACACCAAAAATATGGACAAAGATAATATTGATTCAAACTGTCGTTATTATCACGAGTGATTCTTATCATAATCGTTATCATTTTCATCATTTGGATCTCGTGCACATATCTCAAAATTTTGCTCGAATAAGTTGTGTATATTTGAAAAATGATAGTTTGATGTTCTGATATATTTGATATATACAAAAATGATATATTTGATAGCCTCGCCAATCCAGGTAATCCAGGTAATATTTGAAAAATTACATGCGACCAATGTTATCTTAGATGCGACTATCAAACAGTTAAGTTCAACTTGCTGTATAAATTATCATCTAGGAAGATATATGAGGCGCTTGCATGCCTTAACTTTTCAGAGAATCATCACTCAATTCGTCTTTCGTTGAAACATATTTGAAGAATTAATCAAAACAAAATGAATTGATCTTAAGTGATACCCTTTCTGCTTGAATTTCCGACCCATTTCGCACTGCTCGATACTCGCAGATTGATCGATCGAATACGACCTGTCACTAGATCAAAAGGTTGTCTTCAAATGGCGCGAAAACACGTCTGAAAAAAAACTTCTTACAATTATCAACCACCAACGTAATTGAGACAATCGACGAAACATTTGAAAGGGTCTGAAAAAATGTGCCGATCTAAGAAACGGAAAATGACGAAACGAAAGTATTTCTTCATCAAGGAAATTGAAAAAAAACAACTGTGCAGTCACACCATATGATACGAATGGATCACTGAGAACATGAAATGATCTCCTCAAAATCTGGAAAATTAAACTCAGAAAAACACACGGAATGAACACTTCTTAAGATTTCCGTCGCACACCTAAACATGCTAACA